GAAACTTGATCAAGCAAAATTGCCTTTGTTTTTGACTAAGAGATGCTCAATAAGCTCAGAATTGTAGTTCTCATTTGCATACATAACAATAAATTATTAATTTTTGTTTCACACCAACTCCAATATTGAATAGTAAAATATATTTTAATCTTACCCAAATAAACAACGATTTAGTTCAATGGTCAATCATATATAGAGTATAGGGTGGTAATGTGTTAAAGTTTTAAAGTTTTTAAACGTAAAATGGCGGCTAATACCTTTTTAAGCGTTTTGTAATTTAACCAAAACTCATTAGCATCCACTCAAGCAAGGAATTATTTACTTTTCAACATGCATTAGCAGAGTGCACTTCTCTTTTGTTTACAATTTGGTTGTCAAACACACTACATCGGATCTTTTGACACATTTACCAGAATTTACCACCAGGTAGCTTCTGACAAAGAGATGACCTTACTTACTCTCTTATTTGTCCTCTCAGTTGCCAGAAAACCAAGTATGATTTCCGGTAAAATCTGGAAATTCTGGTAAAAAATGGTAATTTCGCACTCATGCGGGTTCACAACTAAATAATATTGGGAATACTTTTGAGGTGTTTGAAGAGGGTTGCGACCTGTTTGAAACTAAATTTATTTATAATAATCATATTTTGGCCTTGACACTTTTGCTACGTTTTGGCCGAGCTTCTCCTCCGATTTGTAGCGTGCGCCTTTGCTGTCACACAAATGGGAGGGACCTACAAACTTACGCCGACGCCGAACGGCGATACAATTTTTATGATGAGCTATTTTTTTATTAAAGACACTAAGATTTTTAAAATATTTTCACTAAAATTTTATCAACCTAAATGTTAAACTTATGCGAAGTAGTTATCTAATTTAATGTAAATTTTAAACATTTTCAAGATAAAACATGAATTATATTTAAAACGTAAATTTTAATACAACTGTTTTATATATAATCCCAAACATATGATATAAAATCCCCTCTACCAAAAAACTTAAATTGGGTAACGCCGGTTTGAATTTTTACAATTGAGCAATTGTCAAAAATCTTCCTTTTTATAAAAAAGTTATTTACCAGGGTGTCTTTGAACTAATGATTGGTACTGAGTTAAAGAATGCACACACATAAAAGATTGCAGCCTTTTCAATACTCATTCAGTGTTAAACCTTTTTTTGATTGGGCATTGGTTTTTTCAATCTTGCTATGAATATGTTGATGTGTGAATTCATAACTGCTTTGAGAGAATGGAAAATTCAAAAATTTTAAACCTCAATCGTAAGCGAAGAATAAGTAATGAAAACTGGATAGAAAAAAATTGTTGATTTAAAATTGAAAATGATTTCACACTTACACAGCTCTGCCATACTGTAACTAAAACCGTATCTATGCATATAATAAAATTGTAACAGACCGATGTCTGTAAATTATAGATATTAAAAAAAATTAATATGGGGCGATAATGCAATTTTCACCACTGTAATGCCTGAGGTTCAACTTAAAATATTGAAGAAAAAAAGTTAAAGAGTTGCCACCCGTATGAAAGTTGTAGTTTGGGTAAATTGATAAGAAAAATTAAATATTGCAATATGGATGTCGAAAGCAAGAGGTTTAAAAAGGCTTACAGCCGCAAGACTATTTGTGAAAGGTTGCCACCTGTTTGAAAATCCTAACTTAATTGAATTAATAAGTTGAATTAAATGTTGCAATATGGGTATCAAACTAAAGAAGTTTAGCAAAATTTACTGCCGAAAATATTTTTGAAGGAGGCTGCCAATTGTTTAAACATTTTATTCATTTAAAATAATATTGAATTAGTACACCTTTGAAGAAAGTGCGCGTTATGTTACCTCGAGTTATAAGATCATAAATTAAATTTCCAGGAGAAAGCCCATACACTACCTACTTTCTAAATATCTTCGAAAAGACAAGTTTCAAACTTTATACAAAATTTAGAAAAAATTCGACAATTTTTCTAAAAATCTAGTATAAAACGGTCGAAATTTTGATGCTTCTTATCCTAAGTTTTTAGACAATTTTTGTGTATGCAGTTTTATACCGCATCAAATTTTAATATTTGTAACAAGTTGATAGTTGGATTCTTAATAATTTTTTGCCGCCGGTTTTTTTTTTTACTAAACAAGTATTATTTATAAAAACGTGCATTGATTTTTTTAATTATTTTGGTGGTGGATCTTACTTATTTTCTTGCATTTATGTTTACTTGCAAAAAAGTGCAAAATGCCTTTACAAAAAAAAAAAAATAATCAAGAATTATAAAAAACCAATGCTAATAATTTTCAGCCGCTTCAAACATTCACTGCGCTGCACTAAAATATCATGAGCTATAAAACTGCCTACCCGAAAATTGTCTAAAACTTCAGTTTAAGAAGTTGGAAATTTTAATGAAAATTTGTTGCCTTTTTTCGAAGTTTTATATTAAGTATGAAACATTTATGGAGCACGAACAATATTTTTATAAAAAAAATAATAATAAAAATTTTGACTAGAAAAACATTGTGAGCATTAAAAAAAAAATCAACATGCGAATGATTGTTTGAGTCACTGTATTCAAATGTATGTAGATTTAAGATATTTTATGTAATAAATAGGAATGCTCGCATAACTGCAAAGGTTGCTACATTATGCGGTTTTAAATACACACACTTAAGTACGCATTTTAATTGCAAAGATAAGTAATGAGCACCTGCAAAAGTATACCTATTACTGAATATAAGTTTATGAGCATACATACTTGTACTTAAAATGCGTCTGGGAATTGTAAAAAGTTTATTTTATATCACATTAGCTTGTAAAAATACTTTGTATACGTTATATCCATTGCTTTTCATGAAACTGTTTTTATGGTTTCACTACTGAGTTGCCGCAAAGCTTTATTTGCTTTCCATGCGTTCTACTACTGATAAATTGATTTTTAAATCCCTAGCACGTTTTTACATTCTAGTTCATTCTTTCATTATAAAAAAGGTATCCCGTTCGCGGAGTTCTCACTAAATTTGACTCCTAAGTTTAAGTAAATACTAGAGCCTATTCTTTTTGATAAGTCGAACTATATGTCGTATACGTAACCCAAGGGACGAGGTTCATATTTACATACCGCACCCTAAAAGAAGAACAGTCAACACTCAAAAAATTCCAAGTGTTTAGGAGAGGAAAAACAACTGTTGATGCTCAAGCAAAAAGTAAAACTGTTTTAAAATATTTTTCCAGTTAAAGAAGATAGTGATGCAGAAGACATTTTGTCAGATGTTAGATGTATGGTCTGTGAAGAGTTTTATGGAAAAAAATCCATTTTAAAAACTTTTGAGTTGTGACTGTTTTTCATTTAGGGTGCATGGACTTATTGCGAATGCTAGTGTGTATCCTACTACCTTCTGAATTCTTCTAATATCTAGTTTCTATACGCAATGATCTTCATGATATTTCGATTTGTTTACAATGGTGCTCTGTACCATTAATTTCAATGACTTAAGATTAAAGTTGTGGCGGAACCAGTACAATTGGCGCCCAATGCTCAGATCGCTCAAACGAGATCGGTAAGCTATAAATTGTCGCAAAAATCCATTGATTTCAAGCAAAAACAACTGAATTTAATGACAAAGAAAGTGCTCTTCTACCAAGATAATGCTTTGCTTCCTGATCTCTTATATTCTTCTGATTCAATGCTTTTCTACCTTTGCTGTTTCTAGATGTGAAAGTATAGCTTCGTTGGATGAGATTGGGTCAAAATAAGAGGTCATTTGAAAGCTCATTATCTAGAATATAAAAAAATTTAAAAACGCTGGACCAAAAGCACCAAGCTAAAAATAAATTATGCTCAGAAATAAAACATATTTTGCCGAAAAAAAATTGTCTGTAGAAAGACACTAACTTATCACACTGACCGTAAATCAGCGCTTGAATAGAATCCAATTCAGATTTTGAAACCCAAGCGCGCACTTAGTAAAAAACTCGTAGTTTTTGGGTTCATTAAAAGCTCTTCCGGATAAAAATACATCGAGTTTTATTTAGAGATTTAGCAAAATTTGTTCAAGGTATTGGGATTTTTGCTTATTTATTCTACTAATCTTTAGACTTCCCTACTTTAAAAGAAGTACTGGCTCAGGGTACCTCAAGGCATATTCGCCCTTGTATTAGTTTCCGCATTCTCCGTCGTGTTCGTTTCAGTCATTGTCTTCATATTCGGCTGCGGAATGCATCGACATTAAACTTTGTATTAGTATTCGTATTCGACTCGTATTCGTATTCCAGTATGTATTCGTTGTCATGTTATTCTTCGTATTCATCTTCGACTTCGTAGTCATATTAGTTTTCGAATTCATCTCCGTATTGGCTTCTTTTCGTCTTAGTTTTTGTATCCTTTTCACAATCGTATTCCTCTAGGATCGTATTCCTCTTAGGATCGTATGCATATTCGTCTTCGTATTATGCAGTCTTTATTTTCCCTTTCGTATTTATTTTCGTCTTCGTCTTCGCGTTCGTCTTCATATTCATTTCAGTGCTGTCCTTGTATTTGTCTTCGCAATTACCCTGGTGTTGGCCCTCTACTTCGTATTTTTCTTCAATATTCATCTTCGATTTCGTCTTCGTATTGGTTAAATTCGTATTCGTCTTCATATTTGCCTTATAATTCTTGTTCGTATACGTCTTCGTATTCGTGTTCCTCTTAGTCGTATTGGTTTTCGAAATTTTGCCACGGAGATTGCAGCCGTAATTTTCAATTAATTTTTGGAACCTCTTAACATAAACATAGATTCTCAGGAAAATGCTATTGGTAACCTTTAACTAGCCACCACTGCATGAATGTGCTTTTTATGTCCTACTTCATTTATTTCCAGTTCGTTATTTTTAAATTTAATTATTATTTCCCTCAGGATAATGCCCTTTCTTTACATCTGCACCTTTGTACCCTATTTGGTTTTATCTCAAACCTTTGTTATTTACTTTTGAGTTTCAAACAAAATCTTTTTCACACTTACCATGACGGGCTTCCTCTCCATCCGGTGGATTTTGTGTTATCGTATTCAGTTCCTCCTCCAAATCGACGTGACAATCGCCGACATCCCAAGAGAGAAAACCTGCAATGCAGATACAGAAAATAAAAGAAAAGGCAACAATTAATTTTGCGCTGAACAGCGTACAATGGAAAATAAAAAAGTATAGAAACCGGTTGCTGTATTGCATTAAATTAAAAGAAGGCGTATTATTTACACTTTACGCTTGTTTAAGTATGCAAACATATTTAGTTGACATGAACATTTTAAGCTGAAATTGAAAAAGTTGAATAACGAAAAACCTTAAGTAGGTATGTAAACGTAATGCCTTAAAAATAGGAAAAACAAAAATACAGGTATTAAAGTCAGCAAAGGTGGCTATTTACCAATAACTACATCTTGGGGTATATAGCTACATATATGAATATGAACAAGCATGTAGTATATATTTACATACATATGTATGCTAATATATGCACAAATAGTATAGTAAAAAATGTTCTTCCAAAGTTTTAATGTAAATTACTTGGTATTTTTTGTATAGACAGCAGTCAATAAATGCAAAAATTTTATTTTAATGAAAAAACTTTTTTGGCCACAAATTGAAATGGTAAAACAAAGAAAGCCAATTTGCTTGTGCTTTTTTTTGTTTGTTTAGCGAAAATTGAAGAGCGACGAGGGCTGTCTACAATAAATTTATGCGCCTTTGTCGTTTTCCTGTTTCATTTTAGTTTCACTATTAATTTCCTTTTAGACACTCGGCAACTAATTTCCACAGTTTTTTGTATGCCAAAGTTATTTGCCATTAATTTTTATTTATATTTCAGCTGTCGTGTGTAATCGATATAAATAAGGAAATAAACAAGGTTATATATATATGTATATTTTGTAACCGAAAGAGTAGGGGTTTGTTATTTTTTCCGCTTACTTTAATATTAGATACAATTTTTTTTATTGATAAAATATAAAATTTTTAAGTCAGCTGCATTTTTAGGTAGTTATATTTGTTTAAATATTCGCTTGCTTCTTCACTAAATTTAGTCAGAATTGGCGATATAAAGACATCCCTACTTTCAGTGGTGGAATATCTGCGAAAGCAAAGCATACTTCACTTTCCAGAGAACCTTCATTAAAAACTTCGAACTAAGTAAAACCCAAGCCAGTATGTCGGTATCATACGATCAATTCTAGCTACCTGGTTTTGTGGTCTGACCTACGATTTTAATGTCAACAAACAGCGAAGCATACGCAGGAATAAGAGGTGCACTAAGATCCTGCTCGACACAAGCGTTATTCTCAACCTGCTTCCAATCAATCTTCAAATTGGCTGTCAGACGTAGGCACTCAGACCTGTGGGTTACTAGGCACTTCGATCAAGTTGCTAATAAACTAACTCGATTAGGAAGGACAACAGACCATTTGGCATACAATCTGGACTTCAATTGTAACATAGTTAAGAAGAGAGTGGAAACTGAGTAGCAGATAATGAGGCTATCTGCATTGTAGAAGCCGAAGTCTACTCAGAGGAACTCGGTGTCGGTCTCTTGTTATATCTGAGAAAGAATTCCTACTGTTCTAGGAAGCCTGTAGCATAGAGTGGTTCCGCGTTTGGGGTACCTTCCAAAAATTTTCCTCTTGCCGAAAGAGGTGATTTTACAAAACTTTATGTTTCTAAGTATAGGCCCCGTCAGAATGGCAACTTTGCATACATTCCGCCCAAGGATAAAACTGACAGTTGAGTAGACTGTGTGTATTTGCATAGAGAGCGTCAGATTGGCAACTCTTGCGTCGACGTTTAATACAATCAAATAAAAATTCACAAATCAGGTTCAACTGGCCACTTGCAAATATTGTAAGCTTTCATAAAAGAAAAGGAAAAATTAATCAAATTAAGTGAAAAATGAAGCCAGTGAATTACGAAAAATTATTTAAAGGACAGTTTAAGAAATAAAGGACAAAAGGCGTCCTTTATTTTGAAAAAAAAAAAAAATTATATAGGACAGGGGGTTAAAATAAAGGACTGTCTTTTAAAATAAAGGACGGAAGGATGATCACCGTATGTATGCATCCTTTTGGTTTAGTTTAGCCAAATTTCCTTTTTTGTTTGGTTTATTTTGCCTTTCTTTTGCTAACATTGACTGCGTGTTTCATTACTGACTTCTTTCAACATAAAGCTTTATCTTAATGCTTATTTTGTTCTACAATCCTGTGCCAGTCAATTGCACACTTTCTAATACAAATGATTATCCCTTCGATTATTTGTTCATTGATTATGTATTTATTTCGGGCATAAAAGAGATGATGCGATTGGTAGATAATTTCCGTTTGATGATTGCCAATGACTTTGACACTTGACTGATGACTTAAATTGTGTAAAATATCGATGTAAATGTATGCACTACTCCTACATCTGCACATGCTCATGCGGATGTGTATGTAGCAAACGCTCGTACCTACTAGTAGGTATACAACTAGTTGTAGATTCTTATTTGCATAAATTGTGTGTGTCTTTTGCTTCATTTCCATTCAATTTAAATCGATTTACAATTATCGTCTTGAGCAATATTTGCTTGCGGCTCTCTAATTGGGGAGTTATTGCAAAAATAAAGTGATTTAAGTAGTTTTGCTGAGAAAATAAATAAATAACGAGCAATTACTTATGAGTATTTACATAAGTGTGCTGCTGAATAATTTTGCAGGTATTAGAACGGAAACAAGAAAATCTTTCAAGAATGTATTTTTTTCCAAATTACGGTTAAATATTGCATGTAGTTTTTAAGCTTGGGAAAATCGATCTTTTACACGACCTTTTTTGAAATAAATGTTAAGCAGCTTACTAGAGCTAGATACATACGGGTCATTCCATACGATACTTACACCTCAATATTTTTTTTTGTTTTTGATGAAATATATATATTTTTTTCATTCTTTTTTTTTTATTTCGTCATGATAACTATTCGAAAATCTTGAAAAAAATTACGAAATTTTGAACTCACGGAGAAGTATCTTTTTTCAAGTGTTTGCAATTAATAAACTATTTGTCGAGAAAATCAGTTAAGGTATCAAAATGTGCGTAAATGGGCTAAATGGGAGTTTTTGCTATAAAAAATTCCATTTATTAATTTTTTATTTTTTATTGACTATACCATGTTCGGTTTTTATTATTTTTTTCAACCTGAATAGTTGTCAAACTTTATGGAGTACGCTGTAAAAATTTGAGAATGGAAACACCAAAACTATAGAAGTTGCGAGCTTTTTTTATACCTGCGTACATAAAATTTATATATTTGTCTAATTGGGGGCAACTTGTATAGTTAAAACAGTTGAAAGTTCGTTCAACGACAGGCTCGATATGATTTTAGGGATACCGAAAATGTCTTCAATTTCTTAAAATACATACACAAATACATATTTGCAATTATAAATTTTTTCTGGTATACAGAGCTTGGTGGCATTTCGGGAAATGAAAAAGCGTAAGGCGTCCGCCACAAACCTTCGGAACTGTGTCAAGATGTAGTACCTGCACTAAGACTACAGTTTTATAAGGTGAGTAGAAGTCCAGATTACTACTAACAATATATGGACCAAACGTTTTTCTGCGGGTTAAAAAAAATGGGTGTCTACCTTTGTCACTCGCCTTACAATTTTCCAAAGAAAGCAAAAAAATCAACTTACAGCATCAGCATAAACTGTTGGAAATGCATTTAAGAATTATTTATGCGTTGATGAATCGGCAAATAAATAAAACCTCTTCCTCAAATAAATATGTATTATTTTACGAGTATTTTCTAAGCAAATCCTAAACAATGCTGTTTATGAAATGCGTTTGCTTAGCGGTTTATTGTTATATTTATTCCACGTTTTCCAGCTCAGCTACATAGTTACGCTCATTTATACATATCTATACAATATCAACCTTTATTATTACGCGTGTATTTTTATGTTTTATTTTTTATTTTCTTTAATTTTTTATAAAGTGCGTGCATTTCACTCGACTGCTTCTTTGTTGCTGCTGCTGTTCCTCTTGTCCGTTTTGTTTGTGTGCGTATTTAATTGCGCACACGCTGGCTGAAACACATTTTGAATGGCTGCCAAGTGCGCACCGCATAACATTCAGCCTTTCTCCAGCAGCATACGAACTGTCATTGTGTATTTGTTTTTGCTGTACGAGTATGTATGTTCCGTCATATTGTTATTAAGTATTTCATGATTGTTAGCATTATTGCAGTACAGCGCATAAAAATAAATGAATAGCTATATATGCATATGTATGTATGTTTATATGTTATTGCTTTTATTGCAGGCAACATTTATTGTTATTATTACTGCTTGCACACACACACACACACGCACCCTCGCACCTCTAAAATAGTAAAATTGCTCATCAGCGCCACAGTTAGCCTTGCAATTTAGCCACCTGATGCTACATTGTATTTTGCTTTGTTGGTGCGCTTGTTTGCGTGTTTTATGTATTTGTATAGTTGGTCGGCATTTCTATTAATATTTGATTTATGCCTTTATTTCTGTTTCTGTTTATGCGGTGTGTGGTTTGTTTGTTGCTCGTTTGTGACTGGTGTCTGTTAGATTGTATTTATTTTGTGCTTTAATTAGACGTGTGGTTAGCAGGTTCTATTTCTGGCCCCCAGTGTGAAAGAGCTTCTCATAAAAACAGTCTCCCGTTCTGAAGGAAATATTAAGCCATACAGCACAGATCATCATTGAAGCTCGGCCAAACACTTAGTCAAAAACTTTAATTTTAATCTCACCACCGGGTTTAATAACAATTTTCACGACGCCAGTGCGTATGAGCAACAATATTTTTAAAGCATTCAACCGCCTTTGTTAATTGTTACTCATACGCAGTGTTGCTCTGATTGGTTTTTTCGAGCTTGGCTGTTACACGCATTCAATGAACAAAAAACTATACCGCGCACACTGGGATGAGAAGCAGTTTCAGCGCGCTAAAATTCAATTAAAATTTGTCCTACATTTTTCTTTCATCGGACTGTTTGCAGCTCTTAAGCTAAACGAAAAATTCATATAAAATGACGCACACGAAATGGAAAAGAAATTTTCTTCTATCA